GTAGGTTCCTTACTCAGAGGCTTGCCTTTTGTTTTGCTCTGTTCTTTCGTTTTCCTGATGCCAAGCTCTTTTTGCAGGTGTGAAGGATGCAGAGAAGACTTGTGGTGGGAACCTGTTTCACGCCATGAAGAGGAGGAAGCGAGTCACCAAACGAACTCGTGCTGAGCTGCCCCAAGATGCGGAACCCGAGGTACTGGACTACCCGTCAGTGGATCCGCCCAGGGAGCCCAAGATGTTCTCTCTAGTACAAGAAGCGGCAGGGACCCCTTATGCCGAGGCTACTTACACAGGGGCTCCCGCTTACTCTGAGTCTGCTTATACGCGAGCTGGTTCAGAAGTGTGTTGTCGCCGAACCACGCTCTTCAGAAGAGTAGGGAGGCCATTTACCCTGAGGAGGTTGCGGCATGGACCGAGCTTCCTTTGAACCAGGTGGCTTGTCGTGCTGTCACTCATGCCATGGTGGTAAGTTAGCGATTTCTTGTCGGGCTCTTTGCTATTATCTTTCTTGCTATCGTTCTTTTGATCATTTGTTATTTTTCCTTTCGGTAGGTGAATTCTTCTATCCATACCTTGGCGGCCCAAGTGGAAAGGAGCTCGAGGCGGGCGCAAGCTGCCGAAGAGGCTTACTGCGCTACCGAGGCGGCTTCTCGAGCTGCTGAGGCGGCTTCTCGCGCTGCACAGGCCAGGATGGCGAGGTCTCAGAGAGATACCGAGGCCATGAAAGTTGTGGTGAAGCATATGGCGGACCTAAGGCTGAATTTGCAACATCAGGTTGAATACCTTCAAGAGGATATTAGGGAGAGGACAAAGATCTTTTCTCAGGGCATCGAGAATGCCAAGAAGAAGGCCGTTGATAAATACATCGCCCCGTCGCGCTTTGACGACCTGATGGTGGGCTCGTACAGAAGGGGCTTTAAACTGAGCCGGTGGATGATCCGGAATACATACCCCGAGCTCGATATTAGTGCCATAACCACTTCGCGCATTACTCAGGAGATGGCCAACGCTGCTGACGATGAGCCGGATTCTGAGGATGAGGCAGGACCTTCGGGTATCGTTGAAGTGCCTTCTAATGGTGAAGAAGTACCTCCGGGCCTGTGAGCTCGCTTCTGTTATTTTTTTTTGGAATGTAAACAAAGTATTTTGCAATGGAATGATTTTCTTTTGGTTAAGTGTTGATCACTTTTTCTTCCGAACTGACCGTATTGTTGATCTGACCATATGCCCAATCCGTTTTTTTCCCGGGTTACTGCACTCGTGCGGCCTGTTTTGGTGTTAACACTTGGCCTCTGAAATGCCAATGCTCCTATTAGTTCGTTGTCAGCACTTTGCCTGAGCTTTTGGTTGGCATTTTTGCCTTGGCTTGCCCATGCTGAGGTTCTTGTTAGCTCGGCATCCTAGCCCTTAGGCTCTGGTAGCGACTTAGTCCACTTCGCTTGGTGGTCTATAGGTAGTATCGCCTCCAGTTAACGACGTTCCACGCTCGGGTTACTTGTTTGCCCTCTAAGGTTTCGAGCTCGTATGCCCCCCCCGAGCGCTCTCTTTACTCTGTAGGGCCCTTCCCAATTCGGTCCAAGTTTGCCTATGCCGGGCTCGGGTGCCATGATCTTACGGAGAACCAAATCGCCGACGCGGAAGTTCCGCTTTCTTACTCTGGCATTGTAGTACCAAGCTATTCTTTGCTGGTAAGCTGCAGTCCGGATGTACGCGAGGTCTCTTGCCTCGTCCAATAGGTCGAGGTTGGTACGTAACTCGTCTTCGTTTGTCTGATCGTCATAAGCTTCTAGTCACAGTGTAGGTACTTCGATCTCCGCCGGGATTACCGCTTCAGTGCCGTAGGTGAGGTTAAAGGGGGTCTCTCCTGTGGTGGTTTTTTCCGTATTTCGGTGAGCCCATAGAACGCTTGGTAGCTCGTCCGCCCACAACCCTTTAGCTCGGTCTAGTCGCGCTTTCAGTCCGCGGAGGATAGCTTTGTTCATCACTTCTATTTGACCGTTTGCCTGCGGGTGCGCGACCGATGATAAGTTCTACCGAATCCCCATATCTTGGCACCATTCCTGAAACTTGATATCCTTGAACTGCTTGCCATTGTCGGAGATCAGTACCCGAGGTAACTAGAAGCGACATACTATGTTCTTCCAAAAGAAGTTCTGTACGTTTCGGGCTGTAACTGTTGCAAGAGGTTCAGCTTCTATCCACTTTGTGAAGTAATCTACCGCTACTACTAGGAATTTCCTCCCACCTGTTGCTGGCAGGAATGGACCCAGGAGGTCGATGCCCCATTGCACAAAGGGCCATGGGTTGGTGAGATACTTGAGGTTGGCGACAGGCTGATGGT